TCTAAAGTATTAACAATAATAATAATAAAATATTAGTTTTTAAAAAATAAAACAAAAAAAATAAATAATGATAATAAATAGTTACAATTTTGAATATTTTAAACCTTTTTTAATTTCTTGTTTAATTAAATTAATTTGATTACCATATAAAAATATGTCAATTAAAAATGATGAAATTTTTGTTTGTAAATCTAAAGAAGTTGAAGATTGTTGGTCTACTGAAAGTAAAAGTGATGCTTTTTCTAAATAAAACCTTGAATCATTATAATTATGGGTATAGTTGAATAACAATTCTGCAATTTTAATTCTGGTAATAGCTTCTTCAGTTGGTGTCATTTTGAATGGAATAAGGTTTGGTTGTTGCTCTAAAAGTTTTTTTTTTTTTTTTTTTATTTTATCTTCTTTTTTTTTAAATTGTTTATGTAAAATTTGATAATCGATTTCGTGTTCATTTTCATTTTGTTCATTGAAAATAATTAATGTTTCTAAACATTTTATTGCATTCAGAATCTCTCCACTTGAAACTAATTGATCTGATGTTACCCATAAAAAATGAATTATATATTTATCATTGAATTCATTTTGTTGTTGTGGTTGTAGTAATAGTGATGTTTGATCCATTATTAATTATAAAAATATAATAATAATTAAAAAAAAAAAAAAAAAAAAATTTAAATTTTTTTAAAATTTTTAATTTTTTTTGGAAATTTTTTTTATTCATAAAAATAGATAATAGTTATTCTTTTAATTTTTATTAGAATTATTTTACAAAGATATCTCTATATCTCTTTTTTATTATTTTTTTTCAACATTTATATTCTTCGTTGCTATTAAATCTAACAATTAATTTCAATCATCATAAAAAAAATATTATTTGAAAAGAACCTTTATTATTTTTGTGCAGAAAATAATAATTTCAAATAAAATAGTTTTTGTTGTTGTCATTTTATAAAAAAATAAATAGATTAAAAAGATTAAATAATTGTTAAGATATTTATTTCGGAAGCCTTTTTTTTTCCATTATATTTTCTTATTTGATTTTATTTAAATGGGTTCGAAAAACATGTAATAGATTTAATAGGTAATAGTAATTAGAATAATATAAATTATTTTATGCCGTTTTTATTTGTACAATGGATTTTTGTTACCAAGATTGTTATATAATCTCTAAACAAATTAAAATTAATAAATATTAAATTAAAAAAAAAAAATGGTATAAATAAAAAAACTATAAATTTATTTTTTCATTCAAAAAAAAAATAAATAAAAATTAATAACCAAAAAAATAGAAAAAATATACCAAATAGTTAAACACTTTATATTAACAATCTTAATTTTATTTAATTATATTTTAAATTCAATAATGGAAAATAATAACAATAATAATAATCATCATTTAACCAATGAAGAGCAAACAAATAGTGATAGTAGTATCAATGAGAATAATAGAGATAGCCCAAATTTATCATCAACACCTTTAGAAAATAATAGTGACGGTGATAGTAACAATAGTATTCATTTCGATAATAATAATAATAGTAATAATGGTGATAATAATAATGCACAAGAAAAGGTTAATATTAACAAACAAAAAGATATAGTTGATACCAATCCATCAGAATCAAGTTCAAGTAATAAAGAAAAAAAAGAAAATATTTTCCATAATAATAATAATAATAATAATAATAATAATAATAATAATAATAATAATAATAATAATAATAATAATAATAATAATAATAATATTAATAATACAAATAATTCAAATTGTAATTGTTTTTTAATTTGTAAATGTTATAATTATGGTGAAGTTAAACATAACACAGTAGAAGATGTTGAAATTTTAAAATCATCAATTGGATTTTTTGGTTGTGTAGGTTTTTAAATAAAACTTGATGAATATTATTTTATTATTAATTTAATTTTTCTATTTTTTAAAATTAAATAAAGGATGATACATCAATTACTTCAATATTATCACAAAGAAATTGGTCAGAAAAGAATTTAATCATTCAAAAATATAATGTTAAATATAATAAAAATTTAGAAAAAGATTTAAGAACTCATACACGTGGAAACTATAAAAATTCTTTAATTTCCGTACTAACAGAACCCAGTATTTATGATACAATTCAAGTTAGAAGAGCATTAAAATCAAAAAACTTTAAAAACTTTATTGAAATATTTTTAACAAGAAATAATCAGCAAAAAGAAATGATTAAAAGAATTTATTTAATAAAATATGAATCAAATTTAGAGCATGTAGTAGTAGAAAAGTTCAAGGGTTCCATAATGAGAAGCTTGGCTTTATCTATGATTCAAAATTATAGAGATCAAGATAATAGTGATCAAGATTCAAACATTGGTAATCGTAATGATGATTCAACTACTGTTGATATGAAATTAGTTTCAGAAGATTCAGATAGACTATATCAAGCTGGTGAAGCTCAAAGAGGTACCGATGAAAAACCATTTATTGAAATTTTTACAAAACGTTCTTTTGCTCATCTCTCAAAACTTGATTCTTTCTACCAAAATGCAAATCCTAAAGGACATTCATTAGTCAGAGCTGTCGAATTAGAATTTATCGGTAATGTAGGTTCGGCACTTTTGGATATTTTACTTTATGCCAAAGAGCCATATAGATATTGGGCAGAATGCTTTAATCGTGCTTTATCACATTGGGGTTCTAAAGAGAATGACTTAACAAGACTTTCAATTACCCAACATTACCAAGCCGCCAATATCAAACAAGCATTTTTATCATGTTATAATCAAAGCCTAGTTTTAAAAATTTCTAAAAAAACCTCTGGAAAATATAAAAAATTAATTCTTTTATTAATCAATGTTTAAAAAAAAATAAAAAAATAAAAATAAATAAAATGGACAAAAATGAATTCATAATAATCTTCATAATAATTTTTTAAAAAAAAAAAAAAAAAGTTAAAAAAAGATAATATTTGTTTAAAAAATCTTAAAATGAATATGTTAGCAATAATCGATAAAAAATCTCTAAGAAAATAATATTTTTATTTTTAGAGTTAATTTTTATTTAAAAAATATTAAATTTTAAATTGTATTTTAACTATTTTGAATATTATGAAATATAATCAGCTATTTCATTGATTGTTTTTCCATATAAATTATCAATTGAAATCTCTTTATTAAAGGAAAATTCTAATATTTGAC